GGTGGCTTCGGTGATCTTTTTGAAGATTACAGAGTTCAAAATAGCCGACCAGCCAAACTGATGATTGACGAGCGCACGTTTGAGGTAGAAAGCTGCCCAGAAGAGCGCTTTCGATATCAACCCAGCCTGCCCAACTTTTGCAACGACGCCCTTTCTCACGGTTTCCCACACAGCCGGCACACCGATCATCAAGGTTGGCCTGAGTTCCCGGATATCACCTTTGCAGTTGCGGGTGGATATGTCTGCAAGCGTTTTGGGGTTTCCGTAGCCCATTGGGCTGCCCCAGAACAGTGCTGCGTGCTCGAATACAAATTCGAAAATATGCGCCAAGGGGAGGAACGTTAGGACAGTATCACTGGGACCAATATGGCGTCCAATCATCGAATCGATTCCAGCAACTATTGCATCACAACTGGTTAGAAGGATTGTCGAAGTTTTAGTCGGGCGCGTACCTGTTGGACACCGTACATACCAGCAGCGATAACATGTTTATGTTTCAGGGATACACCCTTTGGAGGCCCCGTAGCACCTGAAGTGTACATAATCATGCCCACGTCCTCCGCATCTGGAGGAACAGGCTCGACGGGATGATCCTCTCCAAGCTTCCTGAGCTCCTCAAAGCTGATAACAGTCACCGTAGGATGTGCAGATTTCAGGGAACTCAACGCCTCCTCTTGGAGCAGGCAGGTTTTGTTGTAAATAACCACTCTGATACATCTAGCATCAGCAAGCAATTTAGCAACTGAGCCCAGAAGCTGCGGATCTGTAAAGAGAGCTTTGGAACCAGCTTCTACAGCTGAATGCCGCAGCCCTTCCTCGCCAAGGGTGTCGTACGAGGTAACAATAGGCATGGACTGCGAAATCGCACCATGGGCCACAGCAAGCCACCGATCGCTGGGGGAAAGGCATGTTAGCAGAAGTAAGCAACAGGACCAGCAGCTGGATGTGGATGTATATTTTTATTTGCCCTACCTCGTACTTGCATAAAGGTGGAGCCTATCCCCTTTGGCCAGGCCAAGTTTCCTCAGACCCGCCCCGAGCTGTAGAGTCAATTTCTCATACTCATGGAAGGTGATGAAGTTGTAGCCACTTAATTCAAAGTATGACCACTCCCTATCCACCTCCTGCTCCTCCCCACCCACCAGCTTCTTCACCTTCTTGTTCTCCTTGTGCACCTGTAGAAGCTCTCGCGAGCCCATACATTTTGCATTTCCGAACTTCGCAGCCCCCCGCTTGACGATATCATATACGGTGTTGATTGAGTCCTCTGGTCGCTCAAGCAATTGGTCCTTGTAGTTTATATTTCGGCGAGGGATGGTTTCTCCCTGGACAGCCTCGTAGCCCGGGACATCGACCGTGAAGGGCGATTTCTGTGCCATGCGACCATTGAGAACATTAGTGAACGGCTTCTTTCTTTCAGTCATAATTTGGTAGCCGGGTTATAGGATATAGTTCGCGCAAGTAACATAGGACGAGTGGGGATATCCACCCAGAACCCATAGATATATATATCTACATGTGTATGTGTATTTTTAATGGAGATATACAAGCAAAAGCGCAATTGCCGTGAGGAAGGGAGGCTTACAGCGAAACTCAGAATCATTGCCTAGAGCATATGACACCGAGGCCCAGTTCAAGGAATACGACGAGTTGAGCTCACTCCGAGGGCAACAAATGCACGACACACGATTGATGATTGTGGTGATTGGTGTGAGACAATCGCAGCTAAGGCCTGGCCCGCATCTAGCGCCTTAGCTCGTGGTTTAACAGGCACAATCGTACGTTGTGGGGAAAGGAAAGGCGTCGTGGCTGACAGTAAGTCGCAGAAAAATTGGTGCTGTTGGAGGAGAATGTTGGAGATTCTTGATTGTTTGTGCCGCAACGGAGGACGGATCGGAATTTCTATATGGAGACTTCTCCTGTTAGTTGCCAGTAACTATGCCGAGGTTCATCATCTACCATCTCCGACAGCCTCTATATCGTCACTCACACTTGGAATAGATCTTGATTCTTGGCTGATGCAGCCAGCAGCCAGTTCGCCTGTCCCAAGTCCGGAAGCTGTTCCAGCAAGATGGGGCGCTGGTGAGGCATTGGTCGGCGCGGCGCTGCGCTGCGTAACGCTATGCTCGCTATTCCCGGTAGCTCGCCAGTTTCAATCAATCAGCTTCCCTATGTCAGGTGAATGTTGTCGTTTCTCTCTTGATACTTAGGGATATGCTATATCCTAGCTGCCAAGGCGTCGTCCGGCTGACTGTTCATGCATGCAGTGGATAGAAAAGTATCCGATTGGGGCATCTCTGGACAGCATTCATTACGCTGGGAACTCCCTCTATGACCACTAATTCTTCATGGCCAGAACCCTTTTATCTCTATCAAGTTGGTCTCCGCAGTGCTGACACTCACGCTATACCACGGAATGATGGGATGGCCTCTCCTAACGACCAGCTATATTGAAAATTGAAGAAAAAGAATACTACGCCATTTGCCCCTCGTGGCTTCGCTATCGGCATCCATTCAAACCAATGAAGAACTCGCATTTCTCCTGACCAGTAGAATTGAGTGCCGGCCTGCACCTGAAATTAACGTGTGCCGAGAAGCGCTGGTTGGGGCGCTTCACGGTAGCCTGAACGGTTATTTTCTTCTCCAGCTGGGATCCTCAAACGACAAGGACACCCTATACATTCCACCCAGCAGTATCAACAACTATTGTCTCCTTTGGGAGAAAACCCATACACGATATTGCTCCTGTTGGCCTGGGCGTTTCCTTCATTCCCAAGTGAACCTTCCACAGACAAAGTGGGCTATATACATACATACATAAATATACACACACATATATTTAAAAACAAGTCCGGGGCTCTTGGTTTTAAAAATGATGTCCGAAAAGTCTACTCTGCAATTCCTGCCTGGGGAAATTCTCCAACTCATACATTCATTTCTTTCGCCGGGCTCCAAGCTCGTCTTTTCCCTGACCTGCAAGCGCTTCTATTACAGCTTCTTTGAGGCAATCCCCCCATCGTACTTGAATGACCCCTCAATGCGCCAGGAATTCGAAAAAACCACGAGGAACCAGACTATAAGAGATGAATTGAAGATCTACGATTTTCTCCGCTCCCGCGAATTGTGTGGATTTAAGTCCAACCGGAAACTCGCCTGCTGCGATCCATGTCACTCAAGGCATCTCCCTCTCTTCTTTCACCCAACCGACCTTGACAAGCCCGTCAACGAGCGCACATGCATTAAGCACACCAGAGGCTTCTGGGTAGAGCCGGGCAAATGCTTTAGCTTTGCAGATCTAGATGGACGGCCCACTCGGCTGCACAAGATGCGAACCCCTCACTCCATTGCATTGAGTGAGGATAATGTCTATGGTCGCAGATACACCTTATGGACGCACTACGACATCCTCACACTGCCAATGCACAAACACGCTTCGAAGGCGCAAATCGCCAAGATCCTCAACGGCTTTGACTTGCCCACTTGCCCGCATGTGCGCCTCAGTGACAGCACGATTATGGACCTCTGCGACATCCCGCGCAACACAGTGTCCGAGCCGCTCGACCAGCGCTATCCGCCTTTCTTTGATACGGTCGATCTCCGTACGAAATGCACGTTCCCGTCCTGCCTCACATCATTTTGCTGGACACAGCATGCCAGTGCGGAAAGCCCCGGTTGGAAAACCATCTACCTCCACGTGCTCCGCAAGGTTCGTTTCAACGCATCTATTGACCGTGTCTGGATAGCGCAGCTGATAAAGCCCAACGAGACGCTGATGGAACGTCACTGGGACGATTGCTTCCGGTGGAAAACAGAGAGGCTCGCTATTGAGAAGGAGAGGTATGCAAATGAGGCAGGCAACGGTAACTGCTCTAACCATGAAGAATACCTACGTTTTGAGACTCAACTCCGCCGGCGCGAGGATGTTGTGGATATCATCTTCCACCCACATCGTTTACAGAACTACCCAGACATCGCACGCAGGCTAGCGGGAACTGGTGAAGATGTATCCACAGCTGATAACAGCAATGGACCAAACACACCGTCTGCTCCCAATTGCCGCCCGTGGACCCCTCCAACCAAGGCAATTGTCACAATGGAAATGATTCGTGATATTGACCTCTCTGTAAAGTCTACACCGAAACAGCCAGCTGATGCAGTGTTCACGCCGTTCATGACGGAGGAGGACTTTCAGCGATATGGCAAGCTCCAGGCCCCCGTGCAGGTGGCTGCAGAAAAGCAGAAGAATCCAACCTCGTGGTTTGGAAGGTTTCTTAAGCTCACACCCTGGTAGAGAGGAAGTCGAAATTGACACGTAAATTTAGGGAAAACAGGTCATTTATCTCCGACTAGTCACATCCCCTGGGGGAAAAAAATAATACAAAGAAATATCTCTTTTCACCATTCTGACGGGAAACCGGCTTTTGCGAAGCCCTTCTTTCGTTCTTTCTGGTCTTTTACTGTAATGCGATGTGCATTGTTACCACTCCATTTCTACAACCCCTTTTATAATCTACATCTACGTCCGCACCAAGCAGGAGGTCAACGGCTAAGATCTTTTTTGGCGGAACAACTGTATGGAATGGTCTATGGTGAGCAGAGCAGGAACACCCAAGAATGTTTCGCTCTCTACGCTCGCTTTAATGCTTGTGTACAAGGAAAAAAAGAAAAAAAAATGCGGATGCGTGGAAAATAAGTCCTTAGCATAGGCTAGAAATTTATTATGGTAGTCAAGCAATCATGTTACACACCCGTTGGCAGGCTGCGGGTTTAGGGGCTCGAGGCCTAAAGCTTGGTTGTCGAGTTAGGCATCCAGGCCCCATAATTTCCACTGTGGAGATTGAATTTCACTAAACTGTTATATGCAAGGACTTATTTATTTTCCACGCCTCCGGAATTAGGAATCAAATAGCCAGTAAACTCAATAGAAAAAAAAAAGGAAGAAAAAAAAAGAAGAAGAAGAAGAAAAAGACGAGAAAAACAAATACATCAAAAAAAAATAACGACGCGAGCAGGATTCGAACCTACGCCCCCGAAGGGAAGAGATAGAGCTGGTATTTAGTTAGTTCTAGTCTCTCGCGTTAACCACTCCGCCATCGCGCCTTTTCATGCCGATGAACCGGGCGAATTTAACTTTGAACTAGGCTGCTTCCAAGTACTACACATATTCAACCTTTGTTCATTTCATTTCCCATTGTTTTGTTTCTCTTTTTGCTCGCAAAAAAAAAAAAAATAAAAAAAAATAAAAAAATAAAATTATGCAGAGTAACGACAATACGTAAGGTATATCACACGGTAGTTATGTTCACCTTTACCCAAACGCCCATCATAAAGAATCATAAAAGAATCAATCAAACAAACAGGCCATACTTGAATGCTATCACATGTGTTCGCTGTAATTAACATCGAACCATATGGGGATAATAATGTTTATGCGGGTGCAAACGCCATGGACAAAAAAACCCGAAAAAAAGATCACCTACCGGATACCACGATGTACCATGCCAGAGAGCAAGATTCTCTAAGCTCTCCAACAGAAATCCATTTCAAAAAACGCCGATTATCAATGAATACCATGTTTGCTGTTTACCCCATAGATCAGTCCACTTGACTGGCTGAGCTGGCTTTCACTCGTCTGTCCCATATTCGACCTATTTTTTTCGCCCATCTGGCGAATGTTCCGAGCCTTCCTGTCGGTTGCCAGAGTTTTTGCGAATTTGGATTTCTCTCGGATTATGGGGCCTTTCCAGTAGAATACGTAAATGGGAACGGTGACAATAAATGAGACTATGGCGAGAATGGTCGAAGGCCATTCAAGTTGATACTTGTTGCCGATTGATTCGTACACTAGTTTATATTAGCAAAATAAAGGAAATTTTCATTGACAATGGGCATAATAAAACTCACACGGGGTTGAATACATCGCTGCAATTCCCGCAAGGAAATCCCTTGCGAGTGCATTACCACCCGTCGCAGACGCTGAATACGGTCCATAGCTTGCGACCATGTAGTCAATTGTCGCCATGTAGATGCAGTACTATTATGGTCTCGTTAAATTACAATGAACACAATTAATTTGGATAACATGAATGGGAATATCAACTTACATTTGCAACAGCAATCAAAAGGGAAAATATCATGGGAGCAATCCAATGTACTTGAGGAGGACCTAAACTTGTCCATGCAAATCCGAATAAGCCTATAGTTTCAAGGGGGGCCGCTAACGTAAAACAACCATGTCAGCTTCACAGATATCCAGAGACACAAGAAAGAATGGCCTTACTGAATAACAACCACCATAATCTTGATTCCGGTTCAAGGGTATTTGGACTTTTTCTGTGAATCTTTCGGTGCTTTACCATGACGGGGAGAAAGCTGATATAACCAATGAAGTATCCAATGAGGATACTATATTGCAGAGTTAGAACGCATTCAAATTTTAGACACCCTTTATGCGTAATGGAATCTACTTACGGTATAAAAGCTAGACCAATTTGTATGAGGCTGAATCCCCATTGGGCATACACAAAATCATACGAGTCGAGGAAGGTGAAAATCAAGGCATCGCTAAAGCCACTGAGAAGCGACAAACAAAACACGATGGGCTCGCGTACAAACATACTAAACGGTCGGGCCCAGATTATCGCCACATCTCTCATAGTAATTCCCGGCCCATCGATCTCGCTGGGGCCGTAAATATTTGTCTCTCCCGCCCGACGTCGCCGTTTAGCTTCTCTGTCTAACAGGATAGTAGTCCTTGTTTCTGGCACGAACAACAAGTGAGCGAGTTGAGCAGCTGCTCCAAAGATGAGTTGGCCCCAAAAGTTCCATCTCCAATCAAGGTAAAACTCCATGAATCCCCCGATGATGGGCGCTATGACAGACCCCGCAACAGACGAAAGTACAATGAAAGCGACAGCAAACTGTTGGTCATCGGGCTCCCACATGTCGGCAATCATCCCCAGTGTGACAGAACCACCGGCAGAGGATAAACCGCCGAAAAAGCGCCCAATCACAATGGTGTGGTAATTCCGAGCCAACGCGCAGGGTATTTGCCATAGATTAACCAGAGACAAACTAAGCTGCATGACTGGATACCGACCAAGCTCCTCACTCCAAGGGGCCCACAGCTCACTCCCAAACGCGTAGGCAACAAGGAAAATCATCTGGCCTACTCTAGCAGCTTGCTCGGAAATAGAGAAATGGAGAGCTAAGGGCGTGATGGCATTGGAGTAGATACTAGTGTTGAAATTCATTGATAATTGCACGAAAAAGACGACGCTGAGGATTGTCCACTTTTTCCATCGCGGGAAGGTGAATCCAAGCTTGTCATAGCAATCACTTTCGAGAAGCAGAACTTTTTTTTCCACCTCACCTTGAACGGGAGCTATCGGAGTTGTCGGTGTTATAGGAGGTGATTGGGGTGATTGCGATGGTTGTGAGGAGAATGATTTCCGATGTCCATTATGTTTCGGATTGTGATCTTCTCCGCTCATAGTACGAGACTCGGACGCTAAAGAGGACGACCGTAAGACGTCACTCTCAGCGGAAAACGGCAGTCTGTCGAGTAAGCTCGCTTGAAATCTCGGGATGAATCTGGGGTAGGATTTATGGCGGGAACGAGAGCGCGTAGGCTCTTCCTGCGCGCCAACCTGAGAAACAGGGTCTGATGCAGTCATATCGTAACAATAGGACTATCAACAAATATCCCACAGGACTGCGCTGTAGAATGAATGGGCGCACGGGCAAGGAAAAGCATACACATTAGAGAAACGGGAGAAGAATGCGATGAGCAGGAAAGCAACAGGAAGAGCCGAGAATACAACAGTGATGGAAGAAAACTGCAGCAGCAGCAGCAGCAGCAGCAGGAACAAGGCAGCACACTTTTGCGCCGGGGGAGGAAGAACCACCGCAGCCATCTTGGCTCGTTGCTGCTGCTGTTGCTGCGACTATGGGCGCTGTTATTGTTTACCATCGATCACAAGGCGAAGTGCGCAAAATCCGCGATGATATTTATGCGCGGTATAGCATCATTGAGTGCTTTGATTCCACAGCTGTGGTACTCGAAGCTAAGCATTATGCAGATATCTGAGAGGTTTCAAGAAGAATGGTAAGTAAGCATAAACGGTTGAATGCATTCCAGCGGAATTCGATACCTGAGCTTAGTTGTCGTCCTCTGATTTCAGGCGCTGGGATGGGTAACTTAGACGCCAGGCTGACTAAAAATATATAAATAAATAACTAGTTAAAGATTCGGCCCCATTCCATGATCCACGTCTTTGCTCCACCTCCAGCCTGGCATTCCGCTGATGGTGATCATGAAGAAGGGCCACAATATCGCCAACTGCGCTCCTTATCATCAGCCCTGTTCACCCCTACATAATATCGGATTTAATCCCCAAGGACTCTCAAACGTCGATCTCCCAAAAGTTGCCGAGTTTGTGTGCCGAACCCGGCTAACAAACCGGCCTTCCAAGCCATCGAATGCGAGCGGAGATATAGAGGAATGGGGTCATTCATTAGAGACGAGGCGAGTGGGTCATGGCGAGCTTTTAACAAGGAGCTAATGAACCTCTGCGACAAAACGGTCAATCCTCGAGCTGGGTATCGCCCACCTTAAGATACCTATAACAGGATGTTTTATGCTCAACAGGTCGAACCAAGCGTGGCATCAAAGGGGCTTTCTCGGAAATTGATGTTGTCCAAGAATGTCATGTTGCGAGTTCCAGCTAGCCCAAGCCCATTGGATTGGACCGAATGTGCTGTATGCACTCCCAACAAGCAGCGAGTTGCAGCAGTTGTTGTTTACGCGTGTCATATTTAGGATTTATTCTTGACTCTAGCCAATGAAGGTTTAGGAGAAGCTGGGAAGTTGCATGAGAAATCCATGGATGTCGGACTGATCTGACCTGATGCGCGTGAGGCAGATCGATACTCTCTGATTGTGCGGGATTGCTTCTCAACCTAATCAGAAGTCTGCCACTTTCGCATCTAGCAGACCACGGTTACCTGAATTATACGAGTATGGTGCAAAAGATACCCCGCACATCCTCAGGTACTGTGCTGCCCCGAACCGCTTCACAATGGTGATTGGCATCTGTCTCATGAAGGTGATTTGTTCTGTCCATCGATGCAATCGTATGCCCCTGTGTCAGAGTAATGCCAACAATGAAACAATCATCCTGTCATACTCAATGCAGAGACAAATTTAGAAGCCCCGTTTCTACCAATAATGACCGCATCCTAAACAAGCTAAGTTGGTGGAATGGTAGAGTACTTTCATTGCCGCGCCACCTCTCCTTCCAATCTCCAGAGTCGCAGCGGAGAGCATCTATATATACTGCTTAAAGCCGTCCGTGAAATCGACTTGGTTGTCGCCCCATCCTCTTCGTCTCTATATCTGAACAAACTGTTTCCCCCCAAGAACCAAGGAGGACCAGCCCATCAATGGGTTGGATTCAGTAACTAGAGGTTACATTACTTGTCGAGCCCTATATTTGGTTTCGCTGCACGTCTTCAACTTGGGTCTGTTTACTACATAGTTATCCGGTTTTCGTTGCGTCGAAAATGGAGATGAACAATGATGAAGAGGTAGGTTGAAATTTTCATATATATATTTTATTCGGTACCTTATTATTCCAGATATTGGTTCTGAGTACAAATTTTCAATTCATATTATCCAACCAAACTGGGAAAAGAGATGTGTACTAATGTCATCCTCCATATCTAGGCCCTCCGGCAGTCAGTTTGACACATTGGAGATGATTAATATATTTATCATTCGTCACTGACTTAAACTTGTTTAGGATTGAGAAGGAGTTGGACACCAAGATCTACCCTGGCACGGAGATTATGACGGATGTTGGCTCCCATCATTTTGTCAAGTCGTCTAAGCGTTCAGATCGTGTCTTGGTCCCACAGCCTTCTAATAATCCCAGCGATCCTTTGGTGAGTGTACTCTTTGTGGATACGCTGGATATCATGGCCGTTTCATCCCGCTGGAACTCGAAATAATGATCTTTTACTGACAAAATAGAATTGGAGCCCTTTCTGGAAAGCGACTGCAATGTTTCTCTCGACAGCAGTAACGTTTACGCAAGCAT